TTTTTTTTTTTTTTTTTTTAGAAACTTAATATTTATTTCAACGTCTCGAGATTCTAAAGGAGAGAATTTTTCTAGACTTTTCTAGACGGATAAGAACGATATTATCAATTCGACATCGAGTATCGATTATCAAGGCGGAAGAAGATTGCATCTAACAATTCTTTCGCGCCGCAAAATTCAATTAGCATCGAAGCAGATAGATGCTTGTTAATGGAATAATCCCGACGTATAACACGTATCACGCAACAAAGAAACAATCAAATTCAACGAGAGAGGAATAAGGAACAAAATTGCTCCGCCGTTTTTCCCTTCCGATATCACAATCACGGTTTTACACATTGAAGTGTACACTAAACAACAATAGACCACGAGTCACACAATCACAATCACGGGATGACTAATCACGAGCGATTATGTAGTTAGAAGACTATTAACATCGACTTAAAAAACGATGAATTTCATTGCAGAAGTGGCTTAAAAACGTAAACAGCTCGGCTAACCTCTTCGTAATTTTCGTTGTTCATCTGATGCATTCTCACTTTCTCGTTCAATGTGCAAGAATCCAACACCTGAGAGCTCAATTAGTCACTTGTTTTTTGTTTGAAAAAAACGTACGTATACTCGCGACGAAACAGAGAACGATACGACTTTTAATCCCGACTCACATGACGACGATATACGTGGATCGTATCCTCTTCTCCACAGAGAAGTTACCTCGAGAACGATCCAGGCGTGACTGGCGGTGAGGAGCCCACGCTAACCTCGCGACGCAACTGGTGCAGGTTTACGCACAAGCTGGGAGGTAGGTAGACACGAGGTCTCCGACCCGCTTTACGGGGAAAACTGTTACAGGAAGGCCCAGATATATATCGCACAGCCTTGCACAGTCAGTCACTGTACCCATCCTCCAGCTGATCTCAAACAAACAACTAATTCCAGCGTCGTCCTTTCTCTCGTCTCTTCTTTTTTACATTAAACTGTAATTGCAAATTGAAACTTCTTGATTCGCATAAATCCTTCCTCTGCGAATGAATTTAAACTTCGATGAGTTTAATAGGTTCCATGATAAATGTTTTAATTCTTTTTTTCTAGATCTCCTAAAGGGTCAAGGCGACTGAAAATATACACACACACATACAAACATACCAAAGGAACAGAGAGAATTCCCGAAGGAAACTGCGGCAAAATCGAATTCCTAGCGTGGTCGACCTGATTCTGCGATTGTGAGTCCGTTGTGTCAGAAGTTAGGGAACGCAATCTCGCGGTTAACCTGAATTTGTCGGCGCATCCATGCCAAGCTAGGATCCTGGACTAACCCAGACCCAGTCCGAGAAACAAACAACATTAGAAACCGGTTGAAACTCACCCAGATCAGATGGATATATTTAGAAAGAATATACTGATTAATTCACTAGTAGCTTTCACTAGTGCAATAATTTTGCCGTATTCTCCAGTCGATTTATTCCATAACTGACTTAACTCTCACGAAAGCGATAAAGGTTTCTGATGACACACAATTTAATGCATTTAAATAAAACTCTCACTTCTTAGATTCCCATATCTCGAACTCATTGATTTTCTATATTTTAAAAACCATTTTAAGGTGCATGCGAAAGCCAACTCTAAGTGATTGAACAACTTTACTGATTATCTCTTACCTGCAAAGAATTTCAAACAAAATCGTGTCAATGACCAAACAAACTATACATAGACTATCTTATAGTACGTGGCCTTGGTGAGAGTATAAAATGTTCCCCTAATGA